GTGTATGGAGCCAGACTGGGTTCATGTCACTGACTAGCTGTGTGACCTTGGGCAAGTTTCCTAACCTCTCTGAGCCTCTGTTTTCTCATGATAATAACAGTGCCTTCCCCATGAGATATCGTGAGGGGTAGATGAGAAGGTGCTTAGCGCAGGGCTGGCTGGGCACCTGGGGACGTGCTTGGTGAAGGGTAGCTCCCGGCTTCTCTTTGGTGCAAGCAGAGATCCAGGCATGCTGCAATCTCCCTGTGCTCCCTGCCCTGGCTTCCCCTCTGGGTTTGTCCCCGCTCCCGTAGCAGGGACCGCACCCTCCACAGCCTGCTGACACCTGCTTTCTGTGTTTGGTCTCTGACAGGTGAGCTGATCCTTCTCCCCCAAGATAACCAGCCCCTCGGAGGAGAGAGACCCCACACCCGGCTCCTGTATTTATTATCGTCACACTCTCAGTTACCTCCTTGCTGGCACCTGCCCTCTATTTATTAGCCAATTGCATCCCTGCTGAATGACTCCTCCCTCCAAGATGAGGGGCCTGGAGGGACAGGACCCTCAGGAATTCAGTGCCTTAAGCAGAACGTGAGAGAAAGAAGACAGCCATGGCCCGTGTGTGCTTCAGCTTGGGAAGAAGCAAGATGTGACTTTGCGAGGGGCAAGCCGGGCTCCAGAGGCCTGAGGGGCCCCCAAGGGGCTGGAGAAGGAAGAAGAGAAGAGGAAGAACCCACCGCCTGTCCCTGGGCCTTGGGCTCTGCAGGGATAAGCAGGCCATGGCCCAGCCTGCGTGGGAAGGCAGGCAGGGGGTGAGGGGCCCTGTGGCTTCCTCCTCCTCCTGGCAGCGGCTCTGACCCTGGAGAGCGGAACACTCAGCTCTGGAGAACAGCGGTCGCCCGGGGCCTTGGCCACTCCTCGTCCCCTACGGTTTCTCCTCACATCTCGCCACAGCTTGTACTGGGACATGGTTCTTTGTGGCCAAGGAAGACTTCACCATGGCCACTCCTCGTCCCCTACGGTTTCTCCTCACATCTCACCAAGCTTGTGCTGGGACATGGTTCTTTGTGGCCAAGGAAGCCTGCCCCTCTCAGGGACACAGGCAACGAGGGGGCCCAGGCTGGGCATGGAGCACGCTGCCTGCATGGCTGTCTGGCTGCCAAGCCAGATTCTCTTGAATAAAGTTATTCTAGTCTGGAAACCTCTGCTCCAGGGAGTGTCTGCCGGAGCAGCAAGCAGCAGAAAGTGGAAGCAGGACAGAAAAAGGATCGTGGGCCCGCAGCCGCCCCTGGTTGGCGTCAGCCTCCTGCAGCTTCCTGGGGTGCCATCTCCCCAATTGCTTGCAGCAGGAACCCTGAGGTCCACTCTTCCTATAAAGAGGGATTCCCAATATTTAGTCCTGGCCCCAAAGTTGGGGGAACGTGGCCCCAGTATCCCATGAACACCCTCTAATGCAAGAGCACAGTCCCCTCCTCCTCTCCCTCCCCCAGGGCCACCCCATACCTGGCCCAGTGCCTGGCCCTCCAAACCCTGAGCGAATGGGGGTTCCTCAGGTCCTGGCCCCCCATCTCCAGCCTGCTCAGGCTACCGAGTGCAGGGGTCTGCAGATGCTGCCCGATTTCCACTCCCTTTACCTTCCATCTTCCTCTGCCTTCCTCCTGAAGGCCTTGGCATGAAAGGAGAAAAAGCGCTTTTTAAATTTTTTTCAGTCCAAACCACATACTGTCAGACCCCCATCTACCTCTGGTCCGAAAGGGATGTCGTTTTATTGTTGCCTGTACTGTGGGCAGGGGAGTTCCCCACTCACTGCAGGCTGCTCAGGACAAACCCGCAGGGGCCCAGGGGCAGGCTTGCCTGGGGCTTTGGAGGGAAGCCCTGGACAGTCCAGTGGGTGGGGTGGGTTGGCCCTGCTGAGGCAGCTGGCCTTGGCAGTCTGTTCGCCGAGGCCTGGGCCCCCTGGAGGACACTCTGGTCAGAATGTGCTCTGGCTGGTGATCACAGAAGGGGTGTGGGCCAGCCCCAGGGCAAATGCTTTGCAAAAGAACTGCACTTTCTCTCCTGCTTCTCTCCCCTTGGGCTGAGGCCATTGCCTTTGATTGCCTTTGGTGGACTAAGAGCTGAGAATAGCACCCCTTCCCCTCGGCCAGGCCCTGGATTGGCCCCGGGGACCCCAGCTCAGTCCCAGTAGCATCTCCAAGGCTCTCAGCTTCCCAAATCACCCACATGGAGGTCAGTCTTCCGACACAGGCCATAGATCCCTGTAGAGAACTAGACAGAGACAGGGGGAGCTCTTGGAGGCCAGAAGCAAAAATCCGCCCCCACGGCCAAGAGCAGTGGGGATGAGTAGGAAAGGAACTGACTGGTCCATTTGGCCATCTGGGCAGTCCTTTCCGATCAGTTAGGTCCTGAAGGGCCCTTTTCACTTGCTCATTATATATTTGTGGAGCACCACCTGTGCACCTGACACTGGCCCAGGCACCACGGGCCCAGTGGGGAATAAGGCGCACAAGGATCTGCTCTCCTGTAGTTGAGTGGAGAGACCAACCATAATCCTGTGTTACGGGATATTGGGTGGACTTTATTGTTGCTCAAACTGGTGGCTGGCCCTAGAACTAAGGAAAAAGGAGCCTTGATCCCCCACACTCTAAAACAAAGAAGAAACAATTTGGGGCTGGACACACCTGCCTACAGGATTTATTAAGAGGTGGCTGAAGTAGTTCTGCTAGGCCAGTGGTCGGCAAACCACGGCTCGCGAGCCACATTGGGCTCTTTGGCCCCGTGGCCTGGGCCACGAAGTTTCAATCGCACTGTACGTGGGTGCCCGCACGTGGTATTTTGTGGAAGAGCCCACTCAAGGGGCCAGTTTGCCGATCACTGTGCTAGGCCCAAACATCACCCAGCACCATCTTGAGCATCCCCTTCTCCATAAGCAGAAGACCAGGAAATGAGAAGGAAAGGAGAGGGCAGTGAGGTCGCTGGAGACCTGGGTTGCTGGTCCCTCCTCCTCCTTTCCGTGGAGCTGGATTTGCCCAGGTGCTATCTGAATAGGAACTGGGGGGAGTGGAGAACTGAAGAGTGACAGGGGACAGAGAGAGGGGACACCTTGGGGCATCCAGCAGGAATTTCCCACGGGTCAGGGGGACATGGTGAAAGTGAATGGCCAGGAGCATCCTTGCCCATGTTCTCCCAAGAGGGAGACCTGCAGGTGAGGAGACCCTGCAGGCTGTGTGTATAGGGTTGGGGCAATTGCTGAGTGGGACGTATCAGATAGAGAGCTGGAAAAGAAACACCTCAGGGAACAGTGCTCTAGGGTATCCCTGTGCTGCACCAACAAGACAGTTGGCACCTATCATGGGAGCCATAGTCATAGCCAGAGAAGAAATGGCCCCAGCTAAGGGGGACTTTACCCCAATTTCTCCTTCCTGGCCCATGTGAAAGAAAGAGAGGGGCATAGGGAGGAGTACAGGGACAGACCATGCCCTGCCCAGCTCCCTTGAGCCAAATCCAGGCCCTGTTTTAGGGAAAGAAAGGTGTTATACTTACTTTGGGTAGACAAGCCTAGATAGGGCTGGGCCTTTAATAAATTAAAGTGACAAGAACATTAGAAGACCTGCCCAAAATGCTATTAAGAGACAAGAAAAAGAGAATCAACATAATTCATCTAGAAGCAATGATGAGAGAGAGAGAAAACACAACTGGGTTGTTTGTGCTTTCACTGTTTGCTCAATAAGCAAGTTACACATGTAAACAAAGAAACTAATACGTCATTGCCAAAATGGTTCTGGCACATTAGATATGACCTTGACTTCTTTGACATTTCTCCCCTGAGAGGGAAGGTCTGTTCCCTCTCTTTGAATCTGAGTTGACCTGGGTCTGCTTTGGTCGTAGAGTATGGCAGAAGAGACCCTAGGAGAGCTCCAAACCCTTTCAAGAGAACTGGAAGCTTCTGCCTTGGTCTCTTGGAACCCTGAGCTGCCATGTAAGAAGTTCAACTATCATGAAGTCACCATGTTGGAAGGAAGCCCAAGCTAGTTGTAGAGCGGTGTGGGGAGAGCGAGAGAGAGCGAGATGCTCAGCCGGCCTCCAGTTGTCCCAGGCTCCCAGCCTTTACAGTCATCTCAGCAGAAGTCCCAGGTCTCATGGAACAGGACAGGCTGTGCCCTGTTTGATTTCCTAACCTGTAGAATCACGAGATATAATAACAAATTGTTATGCAGCAATAGGGCCTGAGTGGAAAATAAGGGAAGGTGACCAGATAGTGTTTGGGGGGAGGTACGCTAGACCAGGAGGTCAGGGAAGGGCTCTCTGTGGAGGTGATGTTTATGGTGAAATTTGAAAGATAGGAAGGAGTTCACTCCAAACAGAAGACACCACTGATGCAAAAGCCTTAGCAGGGATCCCAATACGGCTGGGCAAGGAAGGAAGGGACACGAGATGTGGCTGATGTTTGAGGTGGGTAAGGGCCAGATCATGCAGGGGTTTGCCAGGTTAGGAGTTTGAACTTGGTTATCATGTGGAGGGAAACCATTGGAGGGTTTCAAGCAGGGGAGTGAAGTGACAGCACACATATTTTTGGAAGATCACTCTGCCTTCTGTGTGGAGAATGGATCTTAGGGCACAAGACTAGAGGAATAAATACCACTTACAAGGCTGTAGCAAATCCAGGCAACCAATGAGAATGGCTTGGTTTAGGAAGAAGTAATGGAGATGGAGAGAGAGAGAGAGAGAGTTTGTTCTTAATGTGCCATGTGGACTGGTTACCCTGATCATTCATTCATTCTTGAGCATTTTTTGAGTCTACTAGAAGCAAACAAATTGTAGTAGATGCATGAGTGAGGGGGCAAAATATATCAGCATATGAAAGTCTTCCCAATTGCTCACTTAGTAGGGAAAATCTCATTCTGCAAGAAATAAGGAGAACAGGAGAGAAGGCTTAGCTGAAGGTAGATCATCTTACGTTGATCTACCTAAGAACACACAGAGACAAGGCAAGATGGAAAAGGGAAAGAAAAGACCTCATGGCTCGGTCTAGAGAAAGAGCTTGGGTTTTGTTGATTTAAAAGCTTCTGGTGATTTAAGACAATTTGGGGAGAGAGGGAAGGGTTTGTGAAAGTGCTGCTACACTTCCCTCATGTTGACATTCCTAACGTTCTTTGAGAGATGCTCACTCAATAAGGCAGAGACCCAGCCCAGTGGAACACCTGGATGAGCCAGGGAGACATAAGAAGAAGACATTGTCTCTGATCTTCCAAAGCTGGTCGAAGGAGTCTGATATGCACAGATGATTATAAAAGAAGGAAAGAAGGCCACATGGCTTAAGCAGATGAAGTGCCACTAAAGAAATCTGAGATACCTGAGGTGACTTACACATGGGGGAAATCAAGACTGGCTTCACAAAGTCTGTAGCATTTGAACTGTGACTCCAGGAATTAGGCAAGATCGAGTGTGGGGAGATAGATGGAGAAGGCGCTCTAGGTGCAGGCACCACATGAACAAAGACCCAGAGGTGGAAAACCCATAGCTGTACAGAGATTTTCAAATGGTTCTGTTTTGATGCTTAAGGTAAG